AAGCAATTGGCATTTTTGCTATACTATTTTGCTTTTGCTAGTGTGTCAAAAAAAATTTTTTCAAATTAAAATTTTTTAATGATTTTCGCTAACGCTAACAAGTTTTTCTCATATATCATGGTTGGTAAAAATAAATATAATAAAGAATTTACTTCAAGAGTGGTATATGAGGTCAACTGTTGATAGAAAGATACCAGTTACACTGATTAAACGCCACGTAATTTATTAACTAGAATTCGTAAACATGAATGCAACATAGAAAAGAAAGAAAAGGATAAATCTGTTTTGGCTAGAGATTGTTGTGAGGTATCTCACTGTTTCGATTTTAAGGAAGTTAAAATTTTAGCTAGTCAACAAATTACGTTCAAACAAGAATTTTCCGAGATGCTCAATAAAATTTCGTATGAAACTAATGTTAATAGAAATACTGACATTAAGTATCTCACTGCTTTTTATACAGATTTTATTTAATATATTTATAAGAAATATCGTTAACAACGATAATTTAAATGTTCTTTGTACACGTATTTGTTTATTTTTTTTTTAGCGAAAGATGTTTGACACATAAATATCTTAGGTTTTAACATCAGTACAAATAGTTTTTTCTTACGTTTTTATAATACATGTGTTTCTAACCTTCACTTAACTCTCCGTTCTATTTAATTTCTTCTCTAGTCCCCAGCCCTATTATTTTTCCTGAAACCTACTCTTCTTTTTTTGTCTATGGCTAAGAATCTCGCAATATGTATACAGAGCTCCATAACTAAATGTTTAGTGACACTCAAATTCTCCCATTTATAGTGGGCTTCGTGTACGAACCTTATTATTTGCGATCGGATTCGCAGATTGTTTGTTGGGACCAGAATCTCATATGGTCTCTGTTTCTCGTTAGTATTCTGTAGTATTATTTGTAGTATTCTGTAGTATTCTGTAGTATTATTTGTAGGTTTCTGAAGAGATCAACGGGGCTGGATGGAACGTCATATTTTAAAGAATATTGCCCCCTGTTTAACACAAGTTATTCTTTACTCATCTCATTAAATGAAACTGGAAGCAAGATGGAAAGGTTGATAGTCATTTACATCACTGGATTTCTTATATTACCTAATAATTGACGTACTAATCTTCAATTGTGGCTTTTGTGTGGTATTATTTTTTTTAATAAACATGGGTAAGTACAGAATAGTGTCCACATAAGGTATAGACAAAAAAATGTTAAATAAAAATGGAGTATAATAAATTCAACTTTAAGCCAGAGGGTCAGCTTTCCCAGCTAGAAGCAGATTCTTTGAACGTAGATCTTTGGCTAGAAACTAATACGATGCTTTTTCTCGAGCTAAGACTAACGGCTTTCCTGACAAATTGTGAATTGAATAAAATTCTTTTACTAGACACACTTAATTGTTAGTACTAAAGTTTTAAACTTAACATGCACTTTACTATAAACTTTAAATATAATGTTCGTGGGGGTACATACGCATAATAATTGTTGCAGTTATCATCTTTTCACCTACACACAGTAATATGTGTAGAAAATAAAAACATGAGGTGTTAAGTATTTGAGATTAGAATCAGAAGGTGACAACGTAGAGTATGTAATAATGGACTTGTCTAATATAAAAATATAAAGAAAATTGATAAATAATGGTACAAATGTGCAAGTTAGTCTAGTAGGGTATAAACAAATCATTAAAACATTATTTATCTAACGGGTAACATATAGAAGGTTAATGCCAAAAACGATGAAAAAAAATAAGGTTGACCCAAAGCAGCCCATGTCAGATGGTACGGTAAGAAAAAAAAGTCTTAGAAGCATAAGAGCACATTAAGACAATTAAAAAAAAAAAAAAAGATTAAAAAACGGAAACAATAGAAAGCTCAAATGAAGTCAAGTGATTAAATTATGAAGATCAAAGTGAAGCTCAAAAAGTGCAAAAGTGTAAGAGAGAAGTGTAGAAAAGTCAATTAAATACGCACCATAGAGTTAAAACTCGCAAAGCAGGAATGCATTCAGTAACAAAGAAAGGCCATTAGTGCAGCTGACAGAAAATTATACCCAGAACAACAAATAGAATTGATAAAAAAAAAATATGTAGACTCAAGCCAGACGATAGAAAAGAATGTGGCAAGTAGCAGAGCTTTGTCAACAGTAACAAGGAGCAGCAATGGCAACCGAGGAAGTAAACGAGCGCATATACTAAGATGTTTCATCAGTATTAAGAATTTGAGGTTCTCCCAAGCAAAACGTAGTTAAGATGAAAAAACTAGTACAAGATAGTGAAAAATATGGTCAAATAAATTATGCTGTTGTAGAAGAAGCAGAATTTATTAATGTTAAGAGGGAAAGCCAAAGTAACTAAAAAAAAAATTTTTTTTATCAGAACTAGAAATAAAAGCAAATTGATTTAATGCAAGAAGAAGTAGGACGGTTATTCATGTAAGGCTAGAAAAAAAAGATAAGTTACAATCTATAAAAATTTAATCGAAGCTAACGAATTAGAATATTTCTTTTGATAATGGTCTCACTCATAATAAAAGAAAGGAACAAGATAAAATCAAAAAATGGTTAAAAAAAAAAAAAAAGACAGGATAAAGATGAAAGCAGTGCAAAACAAGATAAGGTACAAGAAATAGAGGCTGAGATGTGGCAAGCCCCTAAAAAAAAGGGAATCGTCAGACAAAAGATTGAAATCCTAGTTAGAAAAAGCAGAATGGCTAAGCAGTTTAGGAAAAACTAGATATGGATAATAAATAAAGAGCAGTGCAAGCAGTCAATGAAAATAAAAAAGGATGGGCTGTTGGTGGTTTTATAATAATAGCAATAAACTTATAGTGAGGAGAGATTAGCAAGCTGATATAAATATTGGAAATAGGTATTATTAAAACTTATATAGCAAGTACAATAGATAGTAAAAGTTAAGTGATTGTTTGTGTTTGGTTTTGCGCCCGAGCGTGACAGCCGAGCGAGGCGCTGCGTGCACTTCCGCCATGCTCACGGGCTTCCGCCTTGCCGGGAGCCGCCTCTGCGTTCGGGCACTTGAGCACTGCTCTCTGAGACGACCGGACGCTTGTCCCGCTCACACTCACGACGCCTCTCGCGTTGTAATTAACCCTCTTGTACAATATCTAATAAAGTGTTTTACCAAACATTGGTCCTTTGAGAGCCAGATTCCGTGGAGATAACCAGCGACCAGCAGCCCAGAGGACAGCCGGTGGTTCCACATTATTCGATGCAATGTAAGTATAAGTGACAAACAAAGCGCAAACATGGCCGCCGCGGTCGCTATAGTGCCCGCGGCCCGGCACCAGTCGTTCGGCCACGGCAATGTTAAAGCCGTGTCTCCCTGCACGCGTAAAATGTTGTGAGGGACTGCCGCGGCTGACAGAGCTCGTGGTCCAGTCATTTGGCCCAGCCACAGCGACAAGCAGGCTGTGTCGCTGACGGCCAAAGTTAACGAGTTGTATAGACGTGGCCCGGCTTCATCAAGCCTTTATTGTTGCAATGATCCGCCGACGGCCTCCTCGACAGCTGTGGCGGCCATCTTGTCCGCTCAAGCGCGTCGCCTGCCAATTTGACTCAAATTGTCGACCCCCTTAACACCGCCAGCTGTGGCTCGGTGGCATATTCCGCTCAAGCGTCGAATACTAATGTTTCAGAATGGACGAAGGCTGGACCGCGCTGTTCGGAGCTCAGTCACCTCTCGCCGAGGTTGTTGGCCACCTGGCCCGCACCATTCATGAGATGGAGCCAGCCCGCTGGAGCTCGGGCATGGTAGAAGCGAGATTGGAATTGCTCGGCGGATATTGGGGCGATTTTCAAGCCAACCATCTCAAGCTTATCGGAGCTCCGCCACCGGAAAAGGCGTCTCGGTTGGTCCATCTGTACACTGACGTGGAAGCGCACTACCTCGACGCACGGTCTTGCCTCTACGACGTGAGAGACTCCCTGGCGCTGGCACTTGTCCCTCGCGGGCCATTTCTGGGCCCAGGAAATCCGGCTTCGGACAGTGGGCCTCGCTTGCCGAGAATCAGCATTCCGAACTTCTCTGGGAGACGAGAAGACTGGGAGAGCTTCCGTGATCTCTTCCGATTGCTGATCCACGAGGACTGCCAACTCACCAACGTCGAGCGCCTGTTCTATTTGAAGTCGCTCGCTCAGGGAGACCCTAACACGGCCCTCGATACGGTCCAGGTAGCCGAGGCCAATTACTCTACGGCACGGGCTCTGCTTGAAGCGTGCTACGAGCACAGCCATCATCCACGACCATGTCACAGCCCTGCGGAACATCAAGCCACCCAGAGACGAGTCCGCCCGCGGGTTGCAGAGCCTCTTGGACACCCTGGAAAAACATCGTGACCAGCTTCGCGCCTCAGGTCGTCCCGTAGCTGGCTGGGACGATTGGTTTGTCTCGTGTGGAATGACTGGCATGGATCCAGCAACGAGGCATGCATGGGAGGAGGAACTCCAACGGTTGGAGAGTACCGTTTCCGGCACCGAGGTTGACGTCACCACATTCGCCACCTTAACCGACTTTCTTCGGCGCCGTTGCCGCGCCACCCCCTCTGTCGAAGCCTCGCAGCCCACACGTCCCATCAGCGGGATAGCCGCACGCTCGAGCTCCTCGACATCAGAACGCAATTACTACGCCCTCGCCACGAGCAACGATACGCCGTCGTGCCCGGCGTGCCACAATGGCCATTATCCCGGGCGTTGTGCGCAGTTCCAGGAGCTTGATGTACGCGCACGGAGGAAGCTCGTCTACCAGGCACGGCTGTGTTTCAATTGCCTCCGACCCGGGCACGCTGTAAAGTACTGCCCGTCCTGGTCGGCTTGCCAATTTTGCCGAGGGCAGCATCACAGCTCACTGCACGACGGTGCCCGTCACCGCCACTCGGGGCAGCCCGACGGCTCTACATCATCAAAGCAGCCCCGCACGGACCCGCCCACCTCTTCATCGGGAGAGCACTCGACTGACGCGTCACCTCAAGCGTGACTAGCCATGCTTCCGACCGCCTTCGTCCCTCTGAGCGGTCCTCCTGGTCATCGAGTTCCGGCCCGAGCGCTGATCGACGCGTGCTCCAAGGTCACCGTCATCTCTGCGACTCTCGTGCGCCTGGTCTGCGCACGACTAGAAACCATCAAAGCCAGCATCTCCGGCGTCGGTGGCAAGTCCGCCGTCCAGTCCAGAGTCCGGGCCCATCTCCGCCTCGAGCTTATAGGGCCCGCACCATCGGTCGCGCTGACAGCGCTGTGTTTGCCCAGGCTCGGCCTGGTATCCCTCTCCACCCCGCTGCACCCGGAGGCGATCCGGCAGTGGGCTGACTGCGAGGGCCTCGCCAATCCTTCGTTTGGCATGCCACAACGCGTCGACCTCCTCATTGGCACCGACTACTACCACTTGCTGCTACGACCCAGCTACACTCAACGAGAAGAAATCGTCGGGCAGCGCACAGTCTTCGGCTGGGTATTGGCAGGCCCTGCCGTCGGGCTTGCTCCAGGTACATCAGCCGTCTGTGCAGCCGCCCAATCCGACGTGGCTCCACCTTGGCACAACGAGCTGACCGCTCTGCTACAGCGGTTCTGGGACATGGAGGATTTTCCTCAGGCTCACTGCCGCTCAGATGAGGACATCGAGTGCGAGCGTGCGTTCGCAGACCACCGATGCGTCGTGGACGGACGGTAAATCGTGAGCCTCCCGCTGAAGGGCAGCGGTTCGCTTCTTCTTGGCGACAGTCTTCAGAGTGCCAAGGCCTCCTTGGTAGCCCTGCAACGCCGGCTTCGGCGAAGCCCCGACATGGCTGTGGAGTATAGTCGATTCATGGCTGACTATCTCGCGATGGGCCACATGTACCCGCTCACCAGCGCTGAGCTTGCAGCTACAGCTGGGCCCGTCAACTACATCCATCATCATGGCATCTGGCAGCATGTTGATCGTGGGCGCAAGCTCCGAGTAGTCTTCAACGCGTCCAACCCTACTTCTAGTGGCCACAGCTTGAACGACGTCCTCCACGCTGGACCCAGACTCCAAGCCGCGCTCCCATCGGTGCTCATGCGCTGGCGGTGGCACCGCATCGCCTTCTGCAGCGACATCCGCATGATTTTCCGGCAGATTTGGATCAACTACCGTGACGTCGACCTGCAGCGGATCGTCTGGGCTGCCGAAACCAGCTAGCTTTCAACCCACTACCAGTTGCTCACTGTGACTTACGGCAAATCGTGCTCCCCTTACCTGTCGCTACGTACCCTTCAACAGCCATGCCAGGACGAAGGCCATAACTGGTCCGTAGCTGTGTCAGCCGCCCTGTGTGACCACTACGCCAACGACTTTCTCTCCGGAGCCGACGACGTCACCGCGGCTTGGCACCTCCGCGACCAGCTGAACGGGCTCATGAAGGCTGGCGGCTTTTCCCTGCGAAAGTGGGTGGCCAATGTCCACGAGCTGCTCGACGATCTGCCTGAGGACGTCCGCTTACGTCCGACTTGGGAGCAGCTCAGCGCTGAAGGCCTCGTCACCGAGCTCGGGGTCAAGTGGGATCCACCGTCGGACTGCTTTCAGTTGACGCCTCCACCACTCCAGCCGCAGAGCACAACAGACGATGCTCGTGGCGCTCGTGGGTCTGTTTGACCCATGCGGCTGGCTCGCGCCGATCGTGTTGAATGCCAAGCTCTTGCTCCAGGATCTCTGGCGCACCAGACTGGGCTGGGACGAGCCTGCACCGATCTCACTGACTCGCCAATGGGCGGCATTTACCGCCGAGCATTAGGCCATCTCCACCTTTCGCTTACCGCGCTGAATCGGAGTCGGGCCTTCTTCCAAGCTTCACCTGCACGGCTTTTTAGACGCCAGTCGCTGCGCGATGGCAGCCGTCATCTACTCTCGCCTCGCGCCTGGCGTTGGGCCGGCGCTCTGCCACATTCTTCTGGCTCGGACGAAGCTCTTGCCAATTCGCTCTCTCAAGCCGGTGCCAGAGACATCCGCGCGCATGACGATTCCGCGCCTTGAGCTCCGCGCCACACTGATTGCCACCAAGCTACTGCGGGCCGGTGCCGACGAGCTACGCGTACCTGTCGACCGCTGTCACGCATGGTGCGACTCACAGATCGTTCTGCACTGGATGCGTTCACACAGGCCAACCAACAACGTGCTGATCGACAACTATATCGCCCAAATCCAGGAAATCCTTCCTTCAAGCGTCTGGCGATACGTGCCGACCCAGTCAAATCTAGCCGACCTCGCGACCAGAGGTGCCGACATAACCGGCCTTCACTCGCAGCGCACTTGGTGGCCCCGCTTGGCTCGCCGAGCAGCTCGACGCCAGCTACCTTGAGAAATTCTCCAACTTACGCATGCTACTAAGCTTCCTCGTACGCATTCGTCGATTCGTCCGGAGCCGCTTGGGCAGGGGCCCCGTGCTTTTGGTCGCTTCACCTCTTACGCCGATCGAACTCCACGACGCTTTTTTCGCGTGTGTACGCCTCAGCCAGGGGAGATTATTCTCGGCCGACCTCCAGTGTCTTCGACGGGGCGAAAGTCTGTGGAAGACGAACCCCTTGGTACCGTTAGCAGCCTTCCTCGATGACAACGGGATTATGCGCATCGGCGGGCAGCTCGAGCATTCGCCGCTGACCTACAAGGAGCGGCACCCACCGATCCTCAGCGGCGCCTCTTCTCTCACTTCCATGGTCATTGCCTGGGCGCACTCTCGAGCGCTGCACGGTGGATACCGTGTCAGCAGTGCCTACGTCTGTAAGCGCGCTTGGCTCCTCGGTGGGCCCCGGCGGATCAAGGCTCACCTCCGCAGGTGCGTCATCTGCATCCGGCTGCGAGCGCGACCGGTGACTCAACTCATGGCTCCACTGCCGTTGTCCCGAATCTCCCCTTCTCGTGCCTTTGCCTGCACCGGAGTGGACTACGCCGGCCCTTTCCATGTACTCTCCGCCAGAGGACGAGGAGTCCAGACCACAAAAGGCTACATCGCCGTTTTTGTGTGCCTCGCCACCAAGGCCCTGCACCTGGAGCTGGTCGGCGATTTCTCAGCTGCGTCCTTCTTGGGCGCCCTTCACCGATTTGCTGGACGCCGCGGTCAGCCCGGCGAGATATGGAGCGACAACGCGACTTGCTTCCGCCGCGCTGATGTCGAGCTGCGCGATGCCTTGCTGACAGCCGAGCTGGACTGGGGATTGATCGCGGGCTCTCTCGCCGATCAAGGAATTGCTTGGAAGTTTATTCCACCGGGTGCTCCTCACTTCGGTGGCTTGTAGGAGGCTGCCGTCAAGTTAACCAAAAGTCACCTCCAGCGCGTCATAGGGTCACGCCATCTCACCTACGAGGAACTTTCCACGGTGCTCGTTGGCATCGAGATGGTCTTAAATAGCCGACCACTGACACCGCTATCTGGAGACACTGGAGACCTTGATATTCTCACCCCAGGGCACTTCCTCGTCGGTGGCCCTCTTAACTCCATCGTTCTGCTGGGCCCCCCTGCGGAGAGCTTGAATGCGCTCGCCCACTAGGAGCTCGTTCGGAGGGTCCGCGTCCAGTTTTGGTCCCGCTGGAGCCAAGAATACCTCAACACACTCCAACAGCGGTCAAAATAGACTACTCCTCGCCGGAACTTCATCGTCGGCGATGTGGTCGTCCTCCTCGACGCTACACTTCTGTATTCCAGCGGCCGATGGCCGATCGGCCGTGTCATCTGCGTCCACCCGGGAGCCGACGGCTTTGTCCACGCTGCTACCCTCAAGACGGCGACTGGCGTGTCCGAGCGATCCATCATCAAGATGGTCTTGCTGCCTGTGTTAGCGCCTCCTGTGGCTCCACCGCCTCCAGAATACTCCCCGACTGACCCCAGTTTGGCGGGCAGCACGTAGTTCTTCGATCCAGGATCGAGGTGGGCGGATTGTTTGGTTTCGCGCCCGAGCACGACAGCCGAGCGAGGCGGTGCGTGCACTTCCGCCATGCTCACGGGCTTCCGCCTTGCCGGGAGCTGCCTCTGCGTTCGGGCACTTGAGCACTGCTCTCCAAGACGACCAGACGCTCGTCCTGCTCACACTCACGATGCCTCTCACGCTGTAATTAACCCTCTTGTACAATATCTAATAAAGTGTTTTACCAAACAGTTTGTATCTCAGGTAATCTGAGTAAGAGTCTTAAGGTTTTGAAAAATACTGAATTAGTAGAGGGCAAAAGATTAATTATTTAGGGAAATTTTGATGTAGGAAAATAATAGTTTAACTGTGGTATAGAATATGATACACGAAAATTGGTAAAAAAAAAAAAAGTTGTCATGAGGCTGTAAGTAATAAAGGTCACAACATGGTGGAGTAAGTAAATAATAAAAAATTATATATTGATAAACTCATAATTAATAGATAAAGTAAAGAGTCTTAGAGTCAGGGAAAGATGTTAGTAAGACCACTGACAATTCAAAGTGGATATAAACGACGAAATAATGATACGAAGATGGTGGGATAAGGAGAAGGGAAGCAAGTAGATGACAACATTTATGGAATAAAAAAGCATAAGTATTGATAAAAATTTTACAGATGAAAAAAAATGCAAAAGAAGAACATGTGAATGAATTGAATCAGTAAAAAAATATAAAAACGATCGTTTTAGAGGTTATAGCTAAGAAGAAGTAAAATAATATTAGCAGACCTTGGTAGGATAAAAATAGTGCAATATAGTAGAGGGCAGTTAGAAAAGCTTTAAGGAGATGAAAGAGAGGTGAAGTAACGTAAGCTTCGTATTATAAATTAGTAGTATAAACTGTCTAAAGTAAAGGATTGTAGTTACTAAGGGTATAAAAGAAATATTTAAGTAAGTATTAAGAATTTAGTAGAAATATGGAGTTTCCGGAATGAGTTTGATAGACGAATACTACATTGAGAGGAAAGTGTAAGCTTGCACAGGTGGACATAGTATTTTAAAAATCTACTGGGATGGATTGGGAGAAAATTTATATACGTCAAAGAGACAACTGAAGTAGGGCAGGACATGCACGTGAGACTGATGGATCGGAAAAAAGAAGTAGCTATGAATTGATTAAAAAGTAAAAAGCAGCAAGGATAGATAAGATTTTAGAGGAGGCATGGAAAAAAGTTCATTATTTTAGACGAAAAATGCCTTAGGTGACCATGACACATGTTTGTAAGAGAATATTTTATTATTATAAAAGAAGGGCAAAAAAGACCTATAAAAAGAGAAAGAAATATCACTACTGTCTAAAGTAGATGAAATATCAACAGAAGCAGTGTATGGAAAAATGTTTGAACCATTTGAAATTGTATGTTAAACAATGAGAATAAGAAAGTTGTATACTAGCCCCTTATTTATTACAAATTGTAACATATATTTCAAGACTGTCCTAGATCATATTAACAAAACCTAATAATTCGATTTTATACTTATGTGAGCACATGTATTGCACTAATGGTGGTACAGGATTTTTGAGGAATATCGTAAATCTTGACAATTTGTGTACTGCACATGTATTTTTACAATGGGTGCAGAGCATAGTATATATTGTATGAAGATATATATAAATATAACTCTGCTATTAGGTTGACCTGCACGCCGGCAGGCCTGGTCCGACTGATCGCTAGTACCTACTTTTGCCGTTGATTCCCTGTTTTGAATATTACTTAGCCCATTATTATTATTAACTATTGACTCTACTGCTGATACTTTTCTAGTTGTTACTTGTTGGCGAGGCTGATACGCTGTAAAGGGGAAAAGAAATTTTTAAGATCTGGGAGTGGGTCGATAGTCCTTATCCTGATTTTTAATTAGTATGACTTTTTTTTCTAGCACTAAAAAGTCTGTGAAGTTTCTAATGTGGGCTCGGCTTATTCGGCCTCGATAACTAGGGTGTAGATTCGATATGCTCTATTGACCTACTGTTCCATGGTGAATGGAAGGTCACTTGGTCTGTAAGGGTTCAGATTCTTGACAAGTAGGCTGCCACGTCCTCATTTGGCCCTTGTGTGCGTCTTTTAATCTCCCTCAAGAGCGTCTCCTACAGTTCTCAAATCTGAAATTATAATCTAAAGGCATCCACCGTTTTCTAAGTTCACCTCCACAAAAATTTCTCCCTACGGTATCAGTGGTTTGTTTCCACGTTTAGTACTGCGGATAAAGCCCGTACTACATTTCCTAATGTTAACTCGTACGTTAGCGTACACTCACATAGCTTTGCTGTTAATCCCTTTGTGTCGTCTCTACTAGTGTTGTGGAACACTATTCTTCATTTGTGAAAAATATCTACTGTTTGTTATTCCCACCTAAAATCTGTACTGTCCCGTTGCCTGTTTAATTGGTTATTCATGTGGTTCACTTGGCATAAATTCAGTTGCCTACGCATCTAGTGGCTTCTTTCGTAACCTAAAGTGTATCTTCTTAAGGTGTCTAATCCATGCTCAGTAAGACGTTGTCGAATTCTTGTTGAAGCGTAGGCAATACGTTTAAGAGCGTCTTGTAAATCTTGTTGGAGCGTATCCAGGTAAAACGAATGTTGTCAAGTGGGTTTGTGGAGCCTCCTCGTTTCTCATTCGACTTCCCCGTTCCATTTCTCCTAGATACATGTCCTCTTTTCGTCCCCCTAAGAAGTCATTTTCCCCTATACCAGAATCTTCTGTTGTGGCACTAGACATTCTTCTCCCCACTAACTGACTTACCCACTCCAGGTCACCCCGTTCTCTGGGTGCTGTTTTAAGCTGCAAGTTGTTGATGAGCAAATCTTGTTTATTTGTGGATAACGTTGCTGGACTATATCTCCGAAGATGCTTCTGTCTCTATTCGAATTCTCTTTCTCTTTCCGTTCACTAGTCATATTCAGCTGAAACATAGCACGCCTTTTATTTTTGCCGGGTATTTGCGATAGGGGTAAATAAGGCAGTTCTCACCTACCTGTTGGATACCATTGATTTTCTAAATAGGACCATCTATTGATTGGATTGTTACAATATTGCTGAATGTAATATCTCACAAGCTTGTCTTTAATTTCTGTACACGCTCCCAGGGATACTAGGTTGAAGTATTTTAAATATTTTCTCACGTGTTCTTCCGATGGTGCCTCCACTGTCCGTTTAATCTTTTGCCCACCTGTTGTTGGGTCTAATGATGCCAACTCACCTCCTAACTGAAAGCTTATATTAAAACTTAAGTCCAAATTACTATTATTTAGTTCTATTGTGATACACCTAGTATACTCTAGGAGCAAAATAGACAAAAAGATTGTAAACAGAGAGAAGAAAGAGAACTAAAAGAATAGAGCGAGAGAAAAAAAATAAGCTCTAATAACGGTTGAGAAAAGAGATAAGTATCAAAAGATAGTTTTAGTATAAGAAGAAAAATTTGATAGTGAGAAAGAAAGACACAAAAGGAAAAAAAAAATAAATCTGAAAGAGTATCTATGTGATAGATAGAGAAGAAGGAGAGAAAAATATAACGCAAAAAAAAAAATTTTTTTTTTAGTTACGAGAGAGGAAGAGAAAAGAGAAAAAAAAAATTTATTCTCTAACAGGCATAGCGATAAGAGCTGTCAGTAGTGGTAACAGCTTACGTGTAAATATAATCATACATACAAATGATTAAAGTTTTATGGCAGGAATAGAACCGTTAAATAAAATCAATACAAATAGTAAAATTTAAGCTGAAATAAACTAAAATTTGTACTGTGCAAATATGTAATCTACCAATATTGTGTGTATATAAAATATTTGAGAACCCGTGTGATACAGAAGCAGCGTTTTGTTGTAACAATGGCTGCTGGAGTCCCCAGAAAGTAATCGTCCCGCTCCTCTCCACTTAGTTCCTTTACGGGGAGAGAACGGCGTCGAGCGCTATTTGTACCACATTAGCCAGGGATTGTGACTTACGTGTAATGATATTACTTTTTTTTTACAAAGAAACGTTTACCATGATAGTATTTGGGAGGGAATCGGCTTATTATGTGTAATGTGGAGCGCTAAATACACCAACAGGTAGTATTGTATAGTTAGCAGATCCGAATAGCCCTTTTTTATGTATCAGGAGGTATTCCCTAATACAACAAACACTGAAGCGTTATCATGTTGCAGCTTTCCTCAGTGCTACCCACAACGAGTTGAAACACAAGACAATATATGAATAGTAAGAAATTATGTATTTTCATAAACAATAGCCACTTTAATTACAACCTCCACTGGAAAACCTGGGTGACCGTGTGAGGGCTTGCTTGTGTGGGTATGCTTTTTTTGTTCAGAGTTGTTATTGGAAATGT